CACTGCCCATGCTTCTGATAAGGCCATTTCTATTGGTCTCAAATCCACATTCATTTTTACTTATCTAGTGAGCATCTCTCATTGTAAAACCTGAAAACTCTGTATGATTAAGGTTATGTGCTGTTTATGGTCACTCTTTCAGTGATTTATAGAACCTTAGGTGGAGTACAGCAATCACTTGTGAGGTATGCTGAAATAAAAATGAGAAAGCCTTGCATTTCTAGGGAAAAGGTTCTTTGCCGCTTTCTCCTAGACATAGAGAATGTCAGAGTGAACATATTTGTCAATTTCAGTGGTTTCTGCCCCTAAATCAGAGTGATTTCCTCTAGAAAGTATTAAAAAGAAGACACAATCGTCTAATTTCCTGGATATTTTCACCCAGGAAAATTAATTGGGTCATCAGGCAACTGTAAAGAACCATTAGAAAAAGGGAATCCTCTTTCTCATACTCCTCACATGCCAGAGAACCTTCAGTTGGCGCCTTCCAAGAATAAAGTTAATTTGCCCACTCCATCTTTGTTGTTGTTGTTAAGTGCCATTGAGTTACTGAGTTGGTTTCCATTGCTGTTACATGCTGTTGAGTCAATTCCAACTCATAGTAACCCTGTATAGGGATTCCGAGAAGCAGCTGGTGGGTTTGAATTGCCAACTTTGTGGTTCACAGTCCAGTTCTGATCTTATAGCACCACACTAAGAGTCCAATGGTTCCTCCAGGCTAAAAGGAACAAAGAAGGTTGCCTTCCTTGGATGGTTAGCAAGTCGACTTTGCTTTTCTAACGGATTCATTTAAATTTGAAAGGATTTAACAGCCAGGTATCACAGAGACAAATTGTAAACACCAAAATGTGTTAACTAAGTATTTGTATTTACTAAGCACCTTACTATATGCCCAGCACTGTGCCAAGAAGGGGCTTCAAATCATTTGCAGGAAAAAGGAATGAAAAGATTATGGAGTTTTGCCATGAATTTTTTTCAAAGTGTCTTCCTTGTAGAAGGGAAACAGGAGTAAAAGATACTATCAATACCCTCAATTAACTTAAGATACTGCCTGTTGTTGTTAAGTGCCATGGAATCAGTTCCAACTCATAACAATCCTATATAGGATTTCCAAAGAGCAGCTGGTGAGTTTGGATTGCTGCTATTGATGCTGTTGTTCGATGCCACTGAGTCGGTATAGACACATGGCGGCCCTATGCACAACAGAAGGAAACAGTGCCGGGTCCAAAGCAAACCTCACAATATGCTCATCAAAAATAAAGATTGCATGTTTAGCCAAAACATTACTATGCATTCTGAATAAGGGAGACATTCTGAAAGTATCTTCATCTTGACCTCTAAAAAACTCCTAGCTCAGACAATGAGGAATCATATTTAGTGATCAAAATGGGTAAATCAGATTTCAGACCAGTCTTAAATCACTGGTAAAAACAATTCAAGTATGCTTCACTGAGGGCTGAGTAAACTTCGCCTTTTGTTTGGGAGGAGGCTAGCAGTGATTTGTAGAAATCATTCTGGTCTGTGTTCTGACTGCTGATGGAAAAAACTAACAGTGTTTCTCCCCCTGCAGTGTTCCAAGGGGTGGCTTGACCTGTAATCTCTGGGCATGGCAGGCAAGATGAGTCAGCAGCCTGTGAGTCACTTCACCAGAACGTGTTCATGTGTTCTCTGTCTCCAGCAGGTTTCAAATAGCAAAGTGTCTGGTCATGAGGCGGCCAGACTGAGCACAGCAGAACTCTCCAGAGACCCAGAGAGAAAGCAGATCCAAATAAAGGAGACAAAACATCAAGAGTTTAAAATCCTTTCAAATATCTAAAGATATATTTATTTTAAATTTAAAAGATGTGGGACTAACAGTTGACATGTTTACAGGTTCATGTTATTGAGTCCATCTTTCTTCCTCATCGATCTTAGTTTGGAAGTTCTGCTGAAACCTTTTCTGCATCCTAGCAACATGCAGGCCTCCACTGATGGACAAGTTAGTAGCTGTACATGATGTGTATTGACTGGGAATCGAACTTGGATCTTCTGCATGGAAGACAAGAATTCTACCACTGAACCAACAATGCCCATAACAGGTTCACAGAGACAGTTTTATTTTAACTGTTAATCTTCTAATTTACCAGGAAAATGATTTTCATTAATAGTATATATATATATATA